TATCCCTTCAAGCATATAAACATTACAAATTTAGCATGAAAAAAGGAACAATAAAATACTATAATACAAGCTTAACTTTAATATACATAAAGAAATAAGAATAGTAATAATAAAAATAACAATAAAAGAATGTGATAGAAAAAGAGAGAGGGGGGGGGGATAATTCAAGCTCACTCTTTCTAAATAGTGAACTTCTTGAAAAACTTCAGTAGCATGTTTACATTGTGAAAAATTCTTTCGTTCTGATTAAACCAACACAAAGATTCAACCAGAATGGCATTTTAGTGAGGCCAAACAGAATTTCTGGTTATCATAACCATTTTTTGATTATCATAAGTTTTTAAGATTGTCCTAAGGCGTTAAAGCGTTAAAAGCATTTTTTTAAATTAAAGGAATTAGGTAATTTAAATAATCCGGTTCAAATCGGAAGATAGCGATTGCTGTTGACAGTACCTATACGTATTTGTGAAATGCCTTCTTAACAAAATATGACTAATAACATAATTTTTATCATTAAGAAAAGATATATCTATTAGCCTTTGGAGGAGGTCCCTTTAGGAACTCGATAGTGACACCATCTTTTTCATCACTCAACCCCATGACAATGACAAAAAAGTTCTAGCCCTTAAAATAAAAAAAGTCGATCAAAAACACGCCGGTCCTTAGAAGGTTAATAACGTCTTGTCAGTGTACTTGTGAATCTACTCAAAACTGTGCAAAAGGAGTTCTTTATTAGGTTGAAGAAAGGAGAAGGCTAGATTGCGGCGCTCGTAGATCATAAGCCTTTAGATGCAAATTTTATTAACGCGATCATAGATAATTTCATAAGAATGCAATCTATTTTTATTACGTTATCTATTCTGATACATTTGATACACTTTTAAACAACGATCATCCTGCTTTTTCCTCCATTTTCGCCCGATATTGCGTAACACGCGAGCTTTAATGGATTGTAATTCATGCTCTCGGAATAGATACGTAAAACTTTTCGTGCGAGATAATGTGGAAGTTCTCTGCCAGTTTCGAGGGCCAAAGATATTTAGTGGCAGTATATCTTCCGAATCACTTCACTCTATCCTCTGCAAGAACACTGACTTGCGTCTACTGACTTTTATCGGCGAGTATGGATGTTTTACGGCGCCACGTAGGATTTTAATCGCCCGCATTATTTCGATTTGTATTCGCGATTCTGACCGTCGCGATTCTATCGTATATTTAACGACCAAATAGTATTTTCACAGATTTGTAACAATTTCAAGAAAAAGTTATGTCTTATTGCTATCTTGTACCTTCATATTAGATGTACAAATTAATTCCATGCCTTTTTTTTTCAAAGTTACTGATACAAAGACAAGTACACGTTTAAAAATATTCAAAATAATCGCCATTGTTTTCGATGACTTTATACATCATCTTTCGGCAACTGACGAATGTCCTCGCGGAAGAAACTTGGCGGTTTTGACTCGATAAAATCATCGATAAAGGCACCGAATTAATTTGTACACCTAATACTTATTTCTATTAAAGCAAAAAAGAAATTAACCTCAAATAAATTTACCAATAAATTATCGGTAGACGTCCCTTTACGATTAATAATACTAAAAATTATGATGTACTTAAATTATTTAATTGGCAGTCTTGTTTTTAAATAGGAAATGACACATTTACAAGTCTATTCTGGTACGTATTTCAGGTATATTTTATTAGCATTTTGATCCTCGTTAACTCCGCCGTTAATCAGCACAGGAAGCTTAAGTACCGCTCTCAATCTCAGACGGAGAGAAAAGCTCACTGTCTGAAGAAGGCGACACGCTGGTTGACTTTAATACGCCGTAAGTGTAATCGCGACGTGTTAATCCAGCAAAGAGATCGGCGTAGAAACGGAACGAACGCCGACAACGTCTCGCGAGGGAATAAGACGCGCACAAAATTGGCCTGATTAGATTTAATAAGCCCCTTGGGATTCCTGCGAGATACTGCGTCTGGCAATTTGCGAGGCCGTGGGGTTTTGGGGCTGTCTAGTTTGAGAGGCAGATGTGATTACTATGCTACATCAGAGTCAAGTCCGCGATACACAAATATTGTTTGATACCATGTTCGTAACCATGTTTTGCATTCTAACGAATTTTGTGACACGAGTAATTGAATCAGAGATTACATTTTAATCGGTTGTGTATTCAGAAAAGTTACACATTTTCGTTAAATTTAGAGATATTTTGTTTTTAAAATCATAACGATTTATTGTCGATAAATGCAGCAATAATCTATTATTAATAAACACCATTGGATTTAGAGAAATATTAAATGACGTTATTAATATTGTTATTAAAATTAATATAGTCGAGCGCTAATACTGACGCATTTCCACCGTAAAATATAATAGCTCTGTGACAACTGAAGAAAGTTACTACGAACCGTAGTATGAAGTCGGCAGTGCTTGTAACGTGCGAACGTTTGTATCACGATATTAGTGCACCTTTATAACAAACCTCTGTACGCGACCCTCATTTTCTACACCTCGCCGCACTTTACAAGTATTACGGAATGCTCATCTTGTTCATTCGCACGTTTATAACTTCTGCCTTTTCATATAGACGGTTCACATATTGGGATTCTTCCATTTAATATTATTCGGCGGAACAGTACATTAACTTTCCGCTAATATTTTTATATATTTATGTACGAGTTTATGCAATATTAGTACATTACGATTATAGAATCATAAATGCTCGTCTTTTAATATCGTCGTCGTATAATTTTTATTCATTGCAGAAGTTAATCAACATGTTTTTCGCAAAGTATTTTGCGAAATCAGTTTTAATATTTTATCTTAACATCGCGCTGTCAAAGGGAGAACTGCAATGGTTAAATAAATATACTTACAAAATATCCATTTTACACGTTAATCAGTTTTTCAATATACTATATTTGTGCTTATTGAAATATATACATTACCGCTTTCAACTGATCTTGCATGAGAAACATGTTTTATAAATTTCAAGTTGCTTTTTCTAGAGCTGTCATTATGTTAAATTCGATATGTTATTACTTTGAAAGTTAAATTTCGCTCTTAATCGATTGTGATTGACAGCTCGTAAATATGAAATGAACGGCACGTCAAAAGAGACATTTCGATGAATTCTCTCTAACACAAAATACATGCGTATTCGGCAAACATAAAATGTAGCGGCTGACGAATGACGAAAGGAATACTTTGACGTGTCTGACAAGTCCGACATTAATGACGATCGAAGGCTGATACGTTGATGAGAATGGGTTTGCAGGTACATACAAAAGGCTTTCTTATAGTTTGCAGCGTGAATGATGGATGCCCGTGCTTCATGTAGATCCGCATAGAGAGGTTGTATATTTGCGCGTAGCGTTAGATGTGGAAAAAATGCCTGTATGTATTGAAAAGAGGCGTGAATAAATTATGCGCAGGGAATAGATCTTCCGAGATGATGAAGTCGGATGATCGAGGATATCAAAGACTGTTTTTATAGAAGCGACGTTTAAGATATGATTAATTTGTGTCAATAGAGCGATTAACAGATTTATGTATTAAAGACTTACGTTTGTAAGTAAAATCGATAGAAAAAAATTACGCTATGCTATTTCTTATTAATGCAATTTATTAAAAGAATAATAATAAAAATTCCAAAAAGTGTGGTAATTCAATCTTATAACGCCATCGATATTGAGTAATACAGTATTATAACACGTAAATTTTACGTACAAGGAAATAGACCATAATTAATATAGTACTAGTTTTTCATACATTTCACACTCTTTTAGAACAAAGTATTTTTAATCTAGAAAAGTACTTTTAATCTTTTTATAAACACAAACAGCTTAATTATTAAATAATAAGCACACTAGTAAATTTATTCTTGAAATTATATGGAGGATGCAGTTCAATTTTGTACGTATGTGTGTGTGTGTGTGTGTGTGTGTGTGTGTGTCTATTCATAAATAAAATAATAACACTATAATAAATAAAGTAATAACACAAAATAATGACACAAATTGCTTACAAAATTGAAACTTGTCATGCCATTCTCTATTATAATGTTATAAACACCCAGAGAGGTCCGAAGTGATATGTAACGGACAAAATTTTTAAAAGCATGTCTCTGCTTGTTTTAGTTTTTAACCAGATTGAACCTGGTTTAATAATACTATTGAATAGTTTAACGCTCAATTACTTTGCTCATTTAACGTAAAATTCACACATCGATATTGTTCTGGGATTAATAAGAAATTTAATTTAGAAACTATTACACGTAATAGTTTTCACATTACAAAGATAATTGTAATAGTTGCAATATAATTTGTAATGTAATTTGCAGAACTCGCTTTGAGATATTCGTGAATACTAATTGTGAGTTGCATAAGCGAGATTGCACGATTGAGATATTTTTATAGAAATTGAAAGTAAATGCATACACACAGACTGATTCTACTAACAGCTAGAAGTTTTAATTGGCAAGCCAATTATCGTCAAGGTGAGTGAAACGGCGACTCACATAAAGGAAAAGCTGGCTCTGTTTTCTAGATTTTTGCGTAGACGTGATGATAAACTTTATTTTACAGTATACATCACAAAGATTTTATTCTTATACTTTTCAACATAATTAAAAAAAATATTTTTAAAAGCTTAACTTCTCATTTCACTTTATAAAATATGAATATAGATAATACGCAAAAATACAGGCATGATGAAAAATTTAATTAATATATCTCACGATTAATATAATGTATTCGTGATATGAAGTGTAATAAAACAATGCGTTTATAAAAAGTTTGTTTTGTATAAGCAATAAGGGCATAATAAATGCACATGGTTCTACAATCTAGTGGCCACATTAACGTTATCTGCTAGTAATACGAAGAGCTGGTAGAGCGAATGTAAAAGGGGATCGAACGAGGGTACGAGGCTATAACAAGGCTGGCTAATGGAAGCCAAAAAAGTTCGGGGTTCAAATTCGTTTTATCCCTCCTTAACTAGACATGCAGACAACAAAGAGCCATTGAGCCTCGCCGCACGTATTTCACTCGTCAAATTTTCGAATCCCTTCAAGGGATGGCGCGGAAACTTGAGAATGGAAGTTAGAGAGCCCGGGACGAAGACTCAATTAGAACTTTTGTATCCACGACAGCTGAAAGCGACATTTACGTAAAGGTGATCGGGTTTAGTTTCACATGCTTATATGAAGCGCGATCGATTCCATACGAATATGTATGCGTATTTCTATGACATAAATTGAATGTTGTTTAAGTTGTTGATAGCATCGTATCGTCGATGTGTAGCAACTAAATTTACGTGAGAAAATGAAATCAAAGCGAACAGCTGGAAAAGCTGCATCTCATTTCAGGCCGTATGCGACATTACACAAACGCGATAACGGATATGCTCTCGCACACAGTCGTGTGAAATTTACGTTACGGTATATACGCGACATTAATGAAATGTGTGTTAACGCCACGCATTATTGCAATTCACAATATTAAAAATACGAAATCGTGGAATTGAATAGTCAACCTGTATCCGCGGTTTAATATTCGTAGCCAATATAAACTGTATACTTGATAGTTTTCGAAATCTGCTCACGAACTCGTTATCGAACCGTTCCATTACCAAATTACAAACTGGTAGCGCTATTAGCGTCAGCGTCGATAAATCCAGAGCGAGCCAATTTGCCAAATTGTTTATCGGATACTTCCGTCTCTGTTAGTGAACCGTGGATTTTTCATAGTTTTGCTTCCTCAAAACATATGAGATTTTCACGTGTGCCTCGTTAGCGTATCATTTTCAGCTTGATCAACGATGTACAATACAACCGATTTTTCTAAATGTACAACGAATCGATCGCCAGCTGTGTTATTGTTGTCAAACAAAGCTTTTACGATATTATTTTATATGATACGCTCGTGCAACGTGATTCTATGACGAGAAACGTCGATATAAAAACGTCAAAATCAAACTCTTCTCGTTTGATATCGCTAATTTATTGGAATTTAATTAACTTGCGAGGATTTATTTTCCAAGTCCTTTTCAGATACGTATATTATTCATGGTTTAAATAATTCAATATTTATCGGATATTCTCTAAGAGCAGAAGCCTAATATATGTATGCGCGCTCACCGATGTGTCGTGTATACAAGAGAGTCGATCGATAAACTCCTACCACGAATATGACGTTTCTAAAGACCATCTAAGGGTTAGCGACCTCTTATCCTTCCATAATCGCCAAGTGCATTTACGTGTTTTAGCGATCCAGATTTGTCTCGAGTATCTACCGGCGCGGCGGGACATTGAGTTCCCCGGACGCAATTTGTCCGACGAATCTTTCAAACATATCGCACACCGCGACGTGCTTAATAGGTTGTGACGAACGTTTTCACGCGAAACGTGGAATTAGCGGGCGAACAGCGTGGACGTGACATTACTGAAGTTACCTATTTGCCGCGTGTTTGAGAACAGATCGATAGTGCGGGACGTTCGCTTTGGATGTGACGCGCTTTGTGCGGATCATTGGCGAGATGATGGTCACCTTTCTCGAGACATGAGACAGGCAAACCACTTCAGAAATGACGAGCAGTTTACGACGTGACAAGAGATGGATGTGGGACAAGGGAAAAAGTGCCGATCTGTGATACAAGGGTAAACGGGGATTCGCGATGTATCGGGTACTTGGCCGGTCGTTTATCTCGGCTCATAAACGCACGATCTCACGGGCAATTTCGTAAATTGGAAATCCAACCACGATCGCACGAACCCAAAACCATTTCAACCCTCTGTAACGAAACTTGCGGCCCTCATCGCCGACATTGTGAACGGCAATGTCGGTTCGTGCAATCCTGCACGCCGCTGCTCTAAATGATCGGAGAACTTGCGAAAAAGACGAGTTGAGGAAAGAGGATTACTCGTGTCCTAAATCGACTTCCGACATCAGGGACATCGAGAGACATTTTATTTTTTTTTTTCTCCCTCGTAAGTATTATAAAGGAATGTAGATTTACTACGATGTCCGAAATGAATGCCGTCGCGGATGAAACTGTGATATATGATTGATTTTTAATGCTTGAAAATATTTTGGAAAAATTAATAAAATAGATAAATATTACGCTCTTTTCCCTTGAATTTATGGACGATTTTTACGCAGAGGAAAACGTGTCAGTTTTACAAAACGTCAGTTCGTTTTCATGAGTAACGTGATATTTCGTAATAAGTAAGTAAAATTTGGAAGTTTTACCAATTATGCCATTCATCCTCTCTCTCTTCTAATTCCTTTATCATTACATTAAAATCTCCCAAGCGTATCAGAGTAGACAGTGCGATATTCTGGCAGATTTTCCTATTTTGCAAAATTGTAACAATAAGCACGCCATCGCGTAATAAGTCTCACAACTTCTCGACAATAGTATTACGCTACTACTTACAAAATATATTTCGCTGTCTACACGTTTCATACTGTTTCATAAGATTTCAGCTACCTCGGATAAAGTACACTCGGCAATCTACTTTAACGCCGCTGTTTCCACAAACACGACATTTTGCGTCTGAACATCTTAAGCCGACAAAGCGTTAGTTAATTCAGAATCTTTTTCGATATTGTCGAGGCGATAACGCGAAACTATGTAATATTGGCGATGTTAGGTTAAATCGTAATAAAAATTCTATCACGCATGACGTAAACAAAAAGTGGTTTGCATTTTTTCCCCGCTTTTTACGCATGGAAAAATTAAATCTATCTTGTTGTAAAAAAAGTAAATAGAACATTTTATCGTTATCCGATAGATAAAGTCGATTCAACCATACGAGTTATGGGCTGTTTTTTTTTTTGCTCACACGGACAAAATGATGCAAACCCCATTTTCTACGCACATAAAAGCATATTGAAAACTACATATTTTTGAGAAATAGAAATTTTTACGCTTTTTACTTACATTTATCGCAACGATATTACCATCCTGATAATTCTATGTATATATATATATATATATATATGCATTGGTTAAGATATTTGTAGACCATATATTGTTAAAATTATAATTTAAATTATTTTAAACAATAATTTATCTAACACATTCGCATTAACAATAATATATATTTGAAATGTATTTGCAATGAAATTAAATTAATGAAATATTATATTTAAAATACGATAATGATACATTTGCGTGTCTTCATTATACGTGCTTTTACGGACGAGCTTTATTTAATTCGATGAAGTCCGAAAAAAATTCGCGGTACGATAGAGAACGAAAGGATTTAATACGTATCTGTCAAATCTGATTCGCTGAATTATTTCAAGCTCTGCCGCTGCAGTGTGATATTTCAAGGGGCCATCCATCAGCATGGCTTAGAATCTCCAACAAAGACTACGATAGATGATGTAAAACTGTCATGTCGTGTCGTAATCCTCCTCCAGGGAGATACGGTTTATTGAAATATTCATAATCATTTTTTCTACGTCTCTAGAGGCGAGACGCCGTAATTTCGCGTTTATCCCTCGTAGACGCGTTCATCCCTCCGTGTCGTCTCAGAAGCATGATAACAATACAACTAACACTGAGTCATAAATTCACCTTCCGACAAATCGAGTTACGCTAATTTTACTCTGACACGTATCTTCGCATTTTTATTAAGCTCGCATAATTTTATTGACTAAAATAAACTGAGAGCAATAATACTAGCATACAATGTAGACTTAAAACTATTATTGCGTGCTGTGCTTTTCCACAAACTTGTAGCGATCAGTGATTGCAATCAGATTAATTAAAACTTTCTCGTTTCTTTCTAACGGAGTTATAATCTTCAGTATTCAATGTATTTCAATCAACATTCATCATTTTGATATTATACTTAAAATTAAAACATCTCGCGCTTTTGATCGGCGCGATTATTATTTTTTCTAACAAGTGAAGTCGTGTTTCGTATTTTCAACGTTCTCAGTCACGAAATATAGTCGTTTAGCGTCATTTTGCGGCAGAGCCTTTATTTTGTAATTCTTATTGAGTGTCAGTGTCGTTATATATTGTCGTCGTGCAACTTTTTTTATCATGTATAAAATCTGCACAACTCTTAATGACAGCAACGATGTAACAACATTGTTGCTGTCGTTAAGAGTTAGAGAATAGGGGTCCAGGTCTTTTATAATTTATCGGGAGGGTACACGTCGTTTCGACGCACTTTATTGTCGTTCCTGGGCCTCGGTCATCGATCGATAACGGTTGACGTACACACGCGCAAGAAATTAATTTTGTATGCACCCTTCTGCTTGAACTGGGATAACGAGCGAGTCGTCAGAAGCCATCGCCACTACCATTGTGTACATGGGGTGCATTTTCTAAGTGATTCAATTCACGGGCGATTGTCAGAGTCCCGATAAATTTTCGGTCAACGTAATTTGCATTACTTGAATACGGAAAATTCACCTGCAATTAGAATAAAAATGTTTCGAGCAAAAACGTTTTATTCGATACAATCTCTCTGTTTCAATTTTTTGCATCAAAATGTATTTTATTCCTGCTTTACGCAAAAACTTTACGTATTATAGATTTTCTGTTAGAGTTTTATATTCTACAATATTAGTATAATGCATAGGGGGAGAGAGGGTGAGGGGATAGGGAGAAGGAGAGGGAGAGGGAGAGATTTTCCGATCCTTTACTACAAATAATATTAATAATTAATGTTATATAATAAAGTATTAAAATAATTATTAATAATACAATATAATATTAATTTACTACACATGGGCCATTCATGTCTTGAATTAATTTCCACTACTTTTACAAGTATATAAAAATTATTACGTAATTCTTATATATCGCTCCCGTATTTCAAAAGTGACATAACTAAAAAAACGTGACTTTCAAGTTGTTATCACGAATGAGTTAGATAATCATTACCCTTTTAACCATAAAAAATGAATAAGCTTTTAATAAAAAAATCACAACTTATAAATCAAAACATCATAACTCGAAAAGGATAGTTTTTTAAGTTATGAAATGAAAACTGGCAAAAATGACATTTGATTATATTAAGAACTAGGGATGTACCGGATTGTAAAATTACCGGATACCAGATATCTGGGCAGAATGTAACATCGGATCTCCAGTATCCAATCGGACATCCGAGAAGGCAATTTCTTTGAGGCGGATATCCGACATTTTACGGATATCCGACCGGATTTCGAGAAAGTGTCTTCTAAAGAAAAAAGCCTACAGGGAAAAAGATTGTAATTTTGCAACAATGTATAAGATATTATAGCATTATAAATATGCATATTTATTTCTAGAACATTTGTATAAGAAAAAAATCAACAATTTAATGATATCAAATTTCAACCGAATAACTCCCCGGATAATAGTGATATCCGGCTCTCCGATTGGATAATAAAAAAGTGTCGGATAATACCGAATATCTGATATTTTCCGGATATCCGGTGCATCCCTATTAAAAACATATTCTTTTTACTGATTATTTAGTTAGTCAATAATTTTCTGTCAAATGGAAAAATAGATTTGTATTCTGAGAAGCTTAATTTTTTTTAGTTGTGCCACTTTTAAAATAAGAGAACAAGAACTTTTTAGAAGATATTTGTAAGGTTATACGTTTAAAAAAATTGTATATAAATGTTATAACTAATTTCTAGGTGTACCTAATATTTCAAAGAAAAGAAATGCACAGACATGAATGACCCAATTGTATGTACTTAGAAAGATTAATATTATATTGTATTTTATGTTAATATTTTACACCGCAGATGTGATTACAAGACAAAATCAACGCGTACAGTTAAGATTTTGACTATGATAGTTTGCTTTGTAAATAGATAGTAGCGAGAATAATAGTGCGGCTAGAAAATTATATTATAGTTGGAGTCTGTATAAATAATCGTAGTCGAAGGAATTTGGATTAATTATTTTACCTTGCCTGAGTATGCCGTCGAAGATTATTAAGAACTGTTTTTCTACTTCTCTGTCGCATTTATTTTAAATATTAAATTACTCACCCTTTTGTACGTGAGCAAAGAAACAAAAAGGAAATAGGAGAACAGGGAAATACGAACTACTGGAATTTGCTTGCGCAATCTGTAAGCAAATCCGTTTCGATTTGAGGCGTTAATGCCACGCTCGGGAATAAAATTACGCGACCCTCTGTCTCGAGAATCCAGGATTTCGCATTTTAACATTGTCTTTCTTTTGCTTACACATACATGACAAATAAAACGAATAAATGATATAAACTTCTTGGCTAATGGTTAAATGGTCTGTAGTTGAGATTTCAGGAATAAAATATGATTTATAGAATTTTATAAATATTATATTTCACATGTATGTATATATAAAGTAATAATAATAATAATTGTTATGTATGTATATTATTAATATTATTATATT